TGCGCCTTTCCTGGAGCTTACTTGGTAGCCCAGGCTGGCCTCGAACTCACAGAGATCCCCCTGGCTCTGCCTCCCAAGTGCTGGGATTAAAGGCATGCGCCACCACCGCCCGGCTTATACAGATTTTTAACCACATCCAATAAACTTATAAATCTTGAGGTACAGAAAGTGCACATGATAGACATATAAATCTTGAGATATAGTTTGTATCTTAGCAAAAGTTTTAGGCAGTTAAATTAAACCAATAGTCTAATTTTTCAGCCACTCTGACTTGTTTTTGTTGTTTTGTTCTGTTTTGTCTTGTCACAGTCACGTAGCTGACTTGACACAGGACAGAAACTTTCCAATTCCAGAGCCAGTTTTTCAATAAAGCAGAACAGCATAAGATGATATTTCAACATTATCCACGCCAAAAAGACACTTTCAGTAACCAGAAAACTCAGACATCAGAGCAGTTAATTGCCAAATGTCGTGGTACTGGCCAGGTGTAATGATCACAGGGCTTCACCCAAGCCCAGGATGTCCCTGCTGACCACTCATTCCCCTTTGCACTTCACAAGAGGACCACAGGAAAGGGCGTCGTAACCCTTGGAGCTAGAGTTATAGACAGCTGTCGGCTGCCCAGGGTGGGTGCTAGGAACCAAACTGGTCCTCTGTAAAAACAGTTAACTCCAAACGCTGAGTACATTCTCTAGCCCCCAGACATCACTATTTGGTCATGTTCTTTCAACTGCTGAAATTACTAAAAACAAAACACTGAGCCTTTTTCGACTGTGGAGTAAGGTAAGTCAAATCTGCTTTGGAGGGAAATAGATTTTCATACAGTAAGTTTTCAAAATGACGGACTCCCCTGGCTCTGCAGACGAAAGTATTCTGTTTATGTTAACCTGACAAAGCCAGGTTATTTTGACAAAATTCTTAAGGTTATCTTCCTTATTATTATTTTAAAGGGTTACAACATTTTATTCCATCTAGAAATTCAACCTGTAAGATAACTGTTCTCAGTAAGATTAGAAAAATACATATCAGTTTTCATATATAATACTTTGTAGTTTCTGTAAATTCTGACCCCTTGTTATGAATTTCTGGAGAGAAGATGGAGATGAGTGTTCCCAGTGATGATTGTTGGAGGCTCTTTCTTATGTGGCTCTTTTTTTCTGTCATAACATGCAACTATGTAACTTTTTTTTGTAAGAGGGGTGGGTTTGGGTTTTTTTGGTAATTTTTGAGACAGAAACTCATGTAACCAGAGCTCACTATGTCACTGAGAATGACCTTGAATTTCTTTAAATTTTTATTTATTTAATTTTATGTGTGTAGGTATATATTAGTGACACACAAGCTCCCAGTGCCCACAGAAGGCAGTAGAGGGTGTTAGATCCCCAGAACTGTAGTTATGGATGGTTATGAGCCACCATGTGGGTACTGGGAATAACACTCATTCTTCTGGAGGAGCAGCTAGTGCTTTTAACACTGAGCCACCTCTCCAGCCCCTACATAGCTTTTTAAAGAGTAATTTCTGACGGTTTTCTATTTAGGAAGGCTTTACTGTTCTGGTTTGTTGGTTGGTTTTGAGGCAGAGTGTCACTGTGCTGACCAATCGGAATCTCTGCATCAGAGCCTCGCTCCATGCTCATGTTACTCTTGATTTTAGTCAACATTATTTATTTTTGTATGTGTGCATGTGGAGGACGTGGCACATGCCTGGAAAGGAGAGGAAAAAACTATGGGAATGGGTTTCTCCTCCTACCATGTACATTCTTGGGGTCAAGCTCAGGGAGTCAGTATTGCTGGGAACTTTACCCGCTGTCTCCCCAGGCCAACATTCTTACTGTTTCTTTTTCTCTTCAGGTATTCTTGGCGTCATCAGTTGAGAGAATTTAAAAGTGAATACAGAGTCGTCGCACTGGATTTGAGAGGCTATGGAGAGTCAGATGCACCGACTCATCAAGAGAGTTATAAACTGGACTGTCTAATTGCAGACATAAAGGATATTTTAGACTCCTTAGGTAGGTTAGCCCTTTAAAAATTATTTATGTGTGTGTATGTGTTTCTGTGTCTGTGTGGGTGGATGCACACGTGTGTGCAGGTTCCCACAGAGTCCAGAAGAAGGCGTTGGGTTCTTTGGAAGTTACAGGTGTTTGTGAGCCTGCTCTGGGCACTGGGATCCACATTCTAGCCTCCTAATAGAGCAATAAGCACCCTTAACACTTGAGTCAGCTCTCTAAAAAAATCATTAATTCTTTTTTAAAGAATTAAATTAAATCTTTTTAAAATTTAAATTATCCCTATTTTTTGTGTTTATGAGTGTTTTGCCTACATATATGTATGTGCGCCATGTGCATGCCTGGTTCCCACAGAAGCCAGAAGAGGGCACCAGATCCTCTGGAACTGAGATCAGTGTGGTTGTGAGCTGCCGTGGGTGCTGGGAACAGGATTCAGGGCTTCTGTAAGAACAACAAGTGCTCTCCATTGCCTGAGCCAGTATCCTCATTAACTCTTCAAAGGAAATAACATTTAATAAACTATGAACTGATCACTTCCTTTCTCGGGAGGATGTTTTGTATCTAGCTAAACTGTTACCAAGATCCTGGCTACATAATTCTAAGTATACAACTCAAACTGTTTGTGTGAGGAACTTAAAATTCTGCATCCTGAGCATTCAGCCAAGAATGGCTTTCAGAACCTGCATTTAAAAACAGAACTTTTGCTGGGTGGTGGTGGCACACACCTTTAATCCCAGCACTTGGGAGGCAGAAGCAGGTGGATCTCAGTGAGTTCCAGGACAGCCAGGACTGTTACACAGAGAAACTCTGTCTCCAAAAAACAAACAAACAAACAAACAAGCAAACAAACAAACAAACAAAAAGAAAAAAACCGAAAACAAAAAGCCAACCAAACAAACAAAAACCCCAAAACAAAACAAATTGAAACAGAAACAAAAAACCAAAACCAGAACTTTCTTAGGGCTCCAGCTGTTGTCAGTGATAGGCTGCTTGGTTAGCATGTCCAAGGTGTTGGGTTCCATCTCTGGCATATCAAAAATAGTGAACCACAAATGAAGACAAACTTTTCCTCTCTTCTTTTGGTAGAATAAGAGAAGTGGGGGGGGGGTCCCCATCTGACTGGGACAAAATAGACATAAGGCATACTGTTTATCATTTTAAGAAAATTACACCCAGAAAATTTCTCTCTTCAGAGCCTATACCTAAATATTCATTTTAAAACCAGTTTAAGATACAGAGGCATTTACATGGTCTCTCTTTGTGTCTGTCAACTACAACAATGCTGTGTGAGAAATCTCCCCAAACTCAGGGAAAGACAACCATGTTATCTATTCCTATGCTCAGGGTTCTACAGGCATCTACAGGCTAGGTGTAGGCCCACATGGGACCGATCGGCTTCTCTGTAAGAGTTGAGCTGCGGCCCACGCCAAGGAGATGGGTAGGAGCAGAGGGGTCTTCTTGTGATAGCAGAGGTGAGAGGCTGAGCCCAGCCGCACGGTGTATTTCAAGTGTTGGCCAACAGACCACAAGGCAAAGCCAGGCACATGGTCTCCAGAACCACGGGTCAAGTTGTGCAGCCACCAAGGGACCAAAGCCAGGCACATAACACCAAAGAGGCACTTAGCATATTTCTTGTGCGACAATCATCCAATCTACAAACCTCACTTTGACTAAAGAAACAAAACAAAATGACTGTGTCCTGCTGTTGGTGTGTTTATTTACATTTTTGTTGGGAGGGGCACATGGCTGTGGAGGTCAGTTCTCCATTATCTCCTTCCACCAGACGGATTCTGGGGACCAAGCTCAGGTCCTCACGTGTGACAGCAAGCGCCTTTCCTTGCTAAGCCATCCCCCTGGCCCAGCCATCGGTGTGTTAATAAAATAACTCCAGGGTAGGGGAAGAGGAACTTCCCTAAATCAAGACTGTAAGACTATCATAATATGATTAAAGTATAGATCTGGTGAGTAATTTTAGAGGAATAAAAGGTGGGTGGAGCCTGAGTACCATCGGTAGTGTATTTTTTTGTTTAGTTTAGTTTGTATTTTTTTTTCTGAATCTGACATAGTAACAGATTCTGGCATTGATTTCAATTATATATGCTTCATTCAGATTTGCCAATAATTCAGTTAGAATAGGCCTAAATTTGTCATCTCAAAATCTTATAGCCAAATCAATAATAGAAACAAGAAGACTCTGTGTGTGTGCTGTGGGGGGAGTGTTTGCAAGTGTGTGTGTACACGTGTGTGTTACTTACGTAATGGTGAGAAATGCTAGAAAGACACTGCAGGTGAGTCTTATCCATATGCACAAAGGAAATCCTGTAGGGATCTCTAATAATCGATTTCTTAAATCTAACTCAAAATATCATTATGATTACCCTGAATGAAACTTACACATTCATGTGTCCCTTAATGATAGGACATGTTCTGGGAAATGCATCAGTAAGCAAATCTGTCCTTATACCAATATTTACGCAAGGCCAGGCGGCATACATCAGTCACTGAATGTGGCCTCTGTACAATCAAGATCATTAGTAAACATGAGGTGTATGAGGTTCTTGCTGGTATACCACAACATATTGTTTTATAGTAAATGATTTTTATAATTTGAGGAAGGACACTCTAAAATGGCAATAAAAGAATAATATATTAATAATATAAACCATACACTGTATCACTAAGACAGCTAACATTCAAACTCTACCCCAAATAATCTTATTTATGACCTACTTATGTACAGTTCTACCACAGCTTCCAGATATAGGTCTATAAGGCCAAACCTGAACTATTTCAGATTTTTTTTTTTAAGTACTTTTTGTTTATTTCCCCTCCAATTCCCCTGGCCCCTCACATTTCCTCCTTTCATATCCCCTTCATGAATTCTATTTTTTTTTTAAAGTACTAAGTCCAATTAGTATTGACATTTGCACGTGGTGTGGGGGCCCAGCACCTAGAGCATGCGCAATCTAACAGCAGCCGCAGCCCCCAAAGTAAAATGACCCCCGTCCCAGCAGCCAGCCCTGCCCCGGCAGCAGGACCTGCTTCAGCACCCTCAGTTGCCAATAGCTCCTCAGAGCCCCCTGAGCCACTCTGGGTTGCTTGTGAGCGCAGTGGTTGAGGCATCGGGTCTAGGACAGCGCATTCCACAGTGCTGGTCTCTGGCCTCCAGCATTCCTGTTCTCTCACCCCCTCTTCCTTGACCTTTCCTGAGCTTTCGTGGGGATAGGTTGACATAAAAGTCCCATTTAGGACCGAGCCCTCAACAGTCACCTATTCTCAGAGCTTGGACCAGTATCTAATATACAAACACGTTTTAGAACTGCTGGACTCAGTAGCTACTTTTTTCTTGAGACAGTACGAAGCAGGCTGCCCTTGGACTCCTGCTTCTGCCATCCAAGTACACTGGGAATATAAATGTGAGCACACACACACACACACACACACACACGCGCGCGCGCGCGCGCGCGCGCGTTTTTAAAGTGTATAATTTATAGTGGGTAAGAATAGTCTCACCTATGGTGGGACACCTCGTGCAGCCGTGGTGCAGGGGGAGGGGCTTGGACCTGCCTCCACTGAGTGCACCAGGCTGTGCCGACTCCCCATGGGGGACCTTGCCTTGGAGGAGGTGGGAAGGGGGGGTTGTGATAGGGGAAGGCTGGGGGCGGGATGAGGGAGGAGAGGCGGATCTGTGATCTGTGGTTCATATGCTAAATGAATAGAAAATTTCTTAATAATAAAAATTAAAAGAAAGAATAGTTTCAGAAATGTAACTCTTTTATGTGAGATAATGATGTCACCACCTGTTTCTTTCCAATGATGCTGACCTATTTTTCTTGGTCACAGGGTATAGCAAATGTGTCCTGATTGGCCATGACTGGGGAGGTATGATTGCCTGGCTGATTGCCATCTGCTACCCTGAGATGATAATGAAGCTCATTGTTATTAACTTCCCACATCCAAGTGTATTTACAGGTGAGTTTAAATTCTTGTTAAACCACTCAGTTCCCTATCACCACTGACATCTTGGATTAAAAAAACAGCAAAATTTGGTTAGCATAATCTTTTAAAAGTTAAATTCGCCTGGGCATGGTGGTGAACAGCTGTAACCTCAGCCCTTGGGAGGCTGAGGCAGGAGGGTGGAGAATTCAAGGCCAGCTTGAGCTACACAGTGAGATTCTGCCTCAAAGATACATAGATAACAAATAAATAAGTTGGCAGATAGATAAATAAATAAAGTTGACCCACTAAGCCGAGATGATACATGACGTCAGATACCTTAATTTGTTTGGTTGTTTTTTCATACAGAGCCTTACACTGTGGTCCAGGCTGACCTAGCAGTCAATACTCCTGCTTCATCCTCCCAAGTGCTGGGAGTAGAGGCTTTTGCCATCCAGCCCTGCTCTCTCTCTCTCTCTCTCTCTCTCTCTCTCTCTCTCTCTCTCTCTCTCTCTCTCTCTGTGTGTGTGTGTGTGTGTGTGTACATGCGTGTGTGTTGGGGATCAAGCCCAGGTCTCTGCAATCGATAGTGAGGTACTCTACTACTGAGCTACAATGCTAGCCTAATACTTTGATTTTAAATTTTCCTGAAAACAAATCTAGGAAAATTTAGGTTCTTACTTGCTTGTATAATTTCATTCTTTTTTGGACAATATTTCACTAAACTTGAAGAGAGATAAGGGAAGGAATGTGGTAGCATACTTTGAAAGTCATGAATCCTGGCAAAAAGAAATTCTCCTCTTTTCTGAGTACTTTAACTGTTGAATGCAAAAGTATTTTTAATCCTCAACTGTTTGACCTCAGGACTCTTTATTCTCTTAAAATTATTAAAGAGGAAGAGTCTGTTTATCTGGGTTATATCTAAAGTGGTGACTAATTAGTAAATCAAAACTGGGATGTTTAAAATATATTTATATATCCACTCATTTCAAAATTTTATTACAGGTTTACATAAACACTATATTGTGATAAAAACTAACTGGACTACACTGAACAACTTTTAGTGAAAATTTTACATTCACATTTGAAAGTTTCACATTTTACAAATCTCTCTTAATTCTGGTGTAACAGAAGACAGCTGGGCTCTCCTCTCTGCTTCTGCCTCCAATCTGCTGCAATATGCTCGCAGAGCAGAAGTGTGAGAAGAAATCTGGCCTCACACAAATTTGTCATCGGAAAAGGCAGGAGTGTTTGCACATCTCCGTCTGCTCCTTCTTCTACCCGACCATGTCCACTCCCAAATTCATGGCCTCCTCTTCCTTAGCCACTTTTTTGTTACATATACATGAAAATGAATAAATATATAAATACGACCACTGAGTCTCTCCAGTGTTGCCTGCATGCATATGTTTCTAGGGCTGACCACTTGGTATTGGATAACCAATCACAGGGCTCATCCCCGGGGAAGACTAATTCTCTCTCAGCAGTTATAGCTCTTCATCCAGGGGTGGGGCCCCGTGAGATTTCTCCCAGCTCTATTGGGATGTCAGCTGGTGTTGGAATCGTTCAGGTCTTGTCCAGGCAGGTCCCGTGTTGAGATCTCAGGGGGTTGCTTTCCTGTCATCACACCCTCAGAGCAGACCTCCGGGTCCTCCCTCTGCCTCTTAACAACCTTTCTACCCCCTGCCCTTTCTTCCCTGATATCTCTTGAGCCTTTGGTGCAGGAGTTGTGTTGTGGATCTGCCACTTGGGCCCGAGGATCCCAAGGTCAGTTGTTCTCTGCATTTTGAGTAGTTGTGGCCTTTTCCCATAGTCTCTGTCTGTTGCAAAAAGCAGCCTCTTTGATGAGCAAGAATGTGACTAGTTACATTGAGACCTGTGGCTCGCTATAGCACGCTTACCCTCCGAATTATTTGAATCATTGTGCATTGAAACATCATTGCTTGTAAAGGCGTGCAGATCTTCAACAAGTCGACATATTTTAAAAATCACATTAACGGGCTGGAGAGACGGCTCAGAGGTTAAGAGCACTGGCTGCTCTTCCAGAGGTCCTAAGTTCAATTCCCAGCAACCACATGGTAGCTCACAACCATCTCTAATGGGATCTGATGCCCTCTTCTGGTATAAATGAAGACAAAGCATTCAAATACATAAAACAAACAAATAAAAATCCTAATTTTTCAATTGGAAACCTGAATTGTATCAGTGACAACAGATACTGTGGATGGTTTTTCTTTTAAGTTGCCCATTGTGGTCATTTTCCGGAGAATATTGGGTGGGCTTTGGTGGTCTACACCTTTATTCCCAGCCTTTAGGAGGCAGAGTCAAGAAGAGCTCTGTGAGCTTAAGGCTAGCCTGGTCTACATAGAGTTCCAGGGCTAACTAATGAGATCCTGTCTCAAGGGAGAGGGAGGGAGGACAGGAGGGAGGAAGGAAGAAGAGGGAGAGAGGGAGAGGGAGAGGGAGAGAGAGGGAGAGGGAGAGGGAG